CATCCATCCATCCATCCATCCATCCATCCATCCATCCATCCACTCACCCATCCATCCATTCACTCATCCATCCATCCATCCGTCCACCCACCCACCCATCCATCCATCATCCAGTCAGGCTGACTGAATAACAATACCAAGTAGTATGTGCCAGACACTGTACTAGGCACACTAGGTGACTAAGATTCCACCCACTTCCCTAGCTTTCAGTCTTGTAGGGAGTTGATACGTGAGTATAAGGTATAAAATATGATGATAGATTTTCTTAAAAGGCTCTTCCGTTGCTTTTGCTTAGTCACCTGGAGTGGACTACAAATATATAGCAACTCCAAGGAAAAGGACCTTTGAACTTGAGAGTTTTATTTAATTTGCATGAATTTAGTTTTTCACACTGACCTGGGCAGGTGACCACCAGAGGCCACTCTTCATGTGGCATCTGAGGTGGTTCAGACCAGGCAGCAGCTATAGAAGATGAGCAGTGTGCTAACATCCTATCATTTGCTGTACTTTGGCCACCTGTAAAGCACCAAGCGAACATATAGAAAGGAAGATAAATTCATACAACAAGCATGGCCTGTTTGTTTACAGGGGAACCTTTCCCACCTGGAGACGAATTTGCTTGGGAAGAGCTCTCGCTTATCTTCTTGGGGGTGGGAAGTGCCTCGTGGTGTGTGATGCTACTTAAGATATAAGAAACTCATAAAGCTCTGTGCATTCCTGAACTTTTTTCTGCTTACGTAATTTGGGGAGGTTCTCTTTTTGGTTAAAAATAAGTATCTTCAAATTTCTAGGGCTCCTTATGCACATCATAAGCTCCACGTTGGCTTGTCCGTCATTGCTGCTCCTTACATGTATTTGTTTTGGTTTAATTATTTTTGTTTGAGAAAAATGTATTAGTGAACTCACTCGTTTTTATTTACTGTAGCATTCCATTGGTTTAATCAAGGCTAAATATATTAAGACAACAATGAGTCCTCACTATGGAATGTCAGTCATCAGTTTGCTCTTTTGCTTTTACATTTTAGAGGTTTTTGTGTACATTCACTCTTTGGTGACCTTGACAAAATGTAGCTGTAAGGTTTAGTATAAGGAGAATTTCTGAGCCGGGACATAGGGAGCCTACTTCTGACTTCCACCCCTGCTGCCAGCTCTGAACGTGGATCTGTCACTCCGCTTCTCAGGGGTCCTCTTTCCCCATCCACAGTATTGATGATAGCTGAGCACTTTATCTTTTAGAGCCTTGCTGTTTGGCCGTAGCTTTTGCTTAGTTTTATATAGCATGTATGTTAAAATAGCATTATTTTGAAGTCCAAAAGGCCTTCCACATTTTTTAATGTTGCCCAATTTAAGCACAAGCAAACTAGAACTTGAAATTCCTGTTGGTTGCTGTGAAATGGTCTCTGTCGTGATATTTGAGTGACAGTAGTTGGAAGACAGTTTGATGCAGCGAGTCTCATAAAATACATAGTCTTCTGTGGCACCAAATAAATGTTAGCTTTCTAGGCTCAGTGTAAACTGTTTAAAATTTCAGATCACCTCCTGCCTGCTGAGGTGAAACGCTGGTTGGAACCTTACATGTTTTAGCGTGCTTTGTTTTCCTGCTGGGCACTCCTGCCCCCTAACTGGGCTTCTTCTCCCCTCAGTCCTCCCAAGTCCAAGGACTCTGCTGCCGGAGCTGTGCCCACGCTGGCACCGGGGAGGAACAGCATGCAAGGGGCCAGTGCCCAGAGCCAGGGGCAGAGCCCTGCCGGTTCCCATCAGCTCTCCGTCAGCCCTGCACAGGGCTCCGCTGGCGCCAGCCCTCATACTGTGCGCCGAGGTAAGTAGCCGCCTTTGCTCTCTGTCCTTGCAGGCTGTGCACAGTACCCCAGGTGAGTGCAGGGAGGGCACCAGACTTTCCAGCAGACCGGGCCAAGCCTGTTAGAAATGGCAAGCAGCCCGGGTGGTGTGGCTCAGCGGTTGCGCATCAACCTATGATCCAGGAGATCGAGGTTTGATTCCCAGTCAGGGCACCTGCCCAGGTTGCGGGCTCAGTCTCCTGTAGGGGGCGTGCAGGAAGCAGCCAATCAGTGACTCTCATCACTGATGTTTCTATCTCTCCCTCTTCCTTCCTCCCTCTGAAGTCATTAAAGATATATTTAAAAAAAAAAAAAGAATCAGCCCGGCCGGGCGTGGCTCAGAGGTTGAGCATTGACCTAGGATCCAGGCGATCGGGGTTCGATTCCCGGTCAGGGCACATGCCCGGGTTGCGGGCTCGATCAGTGACTCTCTCATCATTGATGCTTCTACCTCTCTCTCTCCCTCTCCTTTCCTCTCTCAGAAATCAATAAAGATATATTTAAAAAAAAAAAAAATCAAGCAGAAAAATTGGTCATTAACAAGAAAAATCATTAAAGGGGAATGAAAAGTGGAGAGCAGAAAAGCACTTGTTTAAGAAAATTTTAAGCTAGAAAGCTTAACAAACTAAAAGTCCTTTCTCCACAGACCTTCCCAGTTTTCTAGGAATCTGGTATTTTGAGCCCTCACCCCGGTTGGGAGCTGCTGCAGCCTCTACTGGTGGCTCTGTGGGTCTGTGAGCTGCTTTCCTCTGGATTAGGGCCAGGGCTTTTTGGCCCTAATTGACATAAAATCTGAACTGTTCCCATCAGGATCCCCATGGTCCTCCTCCCAGCAGCAGGGAATTGCTTTACAGCACAAAGCAGATGGTGTCAGCTCCTGGCTGAAAGTCCAGTGGCTTCTGTGCAGACCTCCCCCAGTGGCCCTGCAGGGTCTCCCAGGGAGGGACCTGCTCCGAGCTAGCCCTCACCACTCCTCGTCACGGCACTTCTGCCCTACAGGCGTCGATGGGCACGGGCTTGCCCTCTGTTTTTGGAGATACCGAGCTAATTCCCTCTTTAGAGCTTCTGCACTCATTTTCTCTTCCAGAAGTTAAGTTTTACTTTGTGGTAAGAACACTTATGGTGAGATCTGCTGACTCACAGTTTTAAGTGTACAGTACAGTGTTAGAGGCTCAGTGTTCTACAGTAGGCCTCTAGGGCTTCTTTTCTTGCTTAATTGAAACTTTATTCCTGTTGATAGTAACTCCCCAGTACTTTCTCCCCGAGGCCCGGGCAGCCATCATTCCCCTCTCTGATTCTGTGAACTTGATTATTTTAGATTTCTCACATAATCATGTGGTATTTGTCTTCCTGCAACTGGCTTATTTCACTTAACCTAGGGCCTTAGGTTTCATCCCTGTTGTAGACATCATAGTTCCCTTCATAAAGCCTTTGTTACCTGTATAGACCCCTTTTCCACCCTGTCACCCGTCGATGGGCACAGGCTTCTTGCACACGTTGGCTGCTGTGATGTGTGCTGCAGTGAACATGGGAGTGTAGGCATCTCTTTGAGGTGGTGATTTCAGTTCTTTTGGGTAAACAACCAGATGGTTTAGATAAATTCCTCTTATTGAGCTGAGCTGAGCCCCATACAGGGAGGTTGGATCTCTGCCTCCAGAGTCAAGGCCTTAGGCCAGCGACTGACAAAAGCCAGGATGTGCACACAGGATCTCAAATCTTTGAGGTCCCTGCTGCAGGCGTAGGAAAACCAGGATGTCTAGGTTTCTCCCTAACAGAGCTCAGTTCTTCAGTTCTTGACTGGAGTTTAGGGGAATGCTATTTATTAAAAAATAATAATAATAATAAATTCCCAACTGGTGTGGCTCGGTGATTGAGAGTCAACCTATGATCCAGGAAATCGAGGTTCGAGTCCCAGTCAGGGCACATGCCTGGGTTGCAGGCTCAATCCCCAGTGGGGGGCATGTAGAAGGGAGCTGATCAATGGCTCTCTCATTATTGATGTTTCTATCTCTCCCTCCCTCTCCCTTCCTCTCTTTGAAATCAGTGAAGACATATTTAAAAAAAGAAAGGTGTGTGTTCAGTGTGAGAGATGCTCACTGTCAGGTGTGTGGGCTGCGACTGGCCCAGGAAGCAGCATTGACAACCCTGCCTCCCACGCACTCACTGACTTGGGCTTCCCCTTTCTCTTCTTTGACTGCGCTCCTTTTGAGGTCTCGCGTGTAGATGCAGGTCACTGGTAACACTCTGATGGGGAGTAGCATGGACGCTAGTCCTGCTGCCCCAGGTCTAGTGGGAGGCAGAGGTGGGCAGCAGTGGATGTCCTGGAGTGGTAGTGCCAGGGTGAGGGAGCATGACCACCCAGCAGTGGGGAGTTCTTCCAAGTAGAGTGGAGTGGGTACAACAGCAGCAATTTTAAAAGGTTGACTTGGCTGTGGTGGAGGCCACATGGTTGCAGTGACGACCACAAAGTGATGGCCCCCACCTCAAGGATGGCTGTACCACAGGAGGGACCAATCCAGGAGAGCTGGACAGTCCCCGTGGACTGTTTGGTGCTGGTCATAATGAGAGGCAGTTGTGATCAGTGGGAAAGAAAGGCCTTAGCTTTTGCTAAGCTCTAGCTTTTGCTCAAAGTCACATGACTGGTTAAAGGCTACTAATTTGCCTTTTCCTGACTCAATTCTTACAAATGTGAAGTGGAGCTAAAATGCCTTCTCAAAGGGAGCATTGTGGGGATAAACCGTAACGTGTCTGCCTAGGAAAGCATTGTCTGCAAAGCACTGCACAGGTGTTAGGTGGAATTCTTACAAGTCAGGTAGGGAGACAAATCCAGATTCACTGCCTGGTTGTAGACCCCACTGTCTGCCTTAAAGCAGTCTGCCCTCTCATCTGAGCCACAGCATCTTCCTCTATCCAACTGATGCTTGAGGAAGATTAAGTTTTCTCTCCCTGATTCCAGGTGTAACCCTGCTTACAGATTGAGACTTTACTCCTGAGCCTTATTAGGGGTCTTACCTGCTCCCTACTTCCTGCAATCTCAGATCTCAAGGTTCCTCACAGGAAGTTTATCCTTCCTGCCCTTCCCCACCCCCTGGCCCCAGCATCTTCTCAGGGTCTTAGACAAGGCCTGCCTCTCCCCCAGCCTGGCCTCCAGAGGGGACCGGGGCCTGTCGCCTGCTTATGCCACTCTCGTGCTTCTGTGCTGATTCCTTCTACACCCTTAAATGTTGGGAATGATCTTGTCAGTCTTAACTTACAGTTAATATTGCTTAGAACGTTTTCTTTTTCAGCTGCTTATGGCAAGCAGAATACAGCTAATATTCTGGATTCCTTCCTTTGTCAGCTGGTGGGTTGTTTCTGTGGGATAAAGTCTTCTGAGTCCCCAGGTCAAATGTTCTAGGCCAGCAGAGCAAAGTGTCCGTTTTCATTCCTGAATTTGAGCCCTGTGAGCAGGGAGCCAGGCACTGTAGGAAGTAGGAAGGAGGAAGAAGAAAGAAGAGCCCAGGGACATGGGTGTGGGACCCTGTCCTGCCCCTTACAGCTGTGTGACCTCTTGCAAACAGTTGGCCTCTCCGAGCCTCAGCTTTCTCCATGTGAAATGGGTACAGTAGTGCTGCCTTGCAGTGAGCTTGTGAGACTCGGTGAGACAATTCATGAAGAGACCCATCTTCGTGTTGGTGATGTGTTAGGTGAACCGTGCCTGGTCCTTTCCTCCCTTCATTTCCCTCTCCCTTTTGGGGAGGGTTGGTGGAATCTAAGCAGAATCTGAAAAATGCTGAAGTCTCTCCACCCCCACCCCCAACCCCAAACCAGGACTCCACACCCATCATTTTCCCTCCCACCCTCCTTGTTCCTAGCTCCCACCCCTTAGTGATGCTGACTTCAGCTGGTATCAGGAAGGAGGGGTGTGATCCAGCTGTCCTTAGAGAAGTAATTCTGAGGCCATCTGCCAGGTTTATTTTACTTTTACCTCGAATTATCTTATAGCTCAAATGATTCTGGAATTGGTAGAATTTCTGTTATTTAAAAAAACCCCACAAGCCATCTAGGAGAGGAAGGCTTAGAGCAAGCATTTATGGTGTGTGCAGCAGCCAGTCGAGCTTGGGGGCCACCCTAGCATGCTTGCTTCTCTCCTTCTCACGCTGTCGGGTGAGCAGGGTGCTGACAAGTGGGCGCTGGGTGGCTTAGCGCAGCAGCTCCTGTGGGCAGGGCAGCACAGAGTGTTCTTGTTGAACTTGTAAAGTGACAGGTCTTTAAAGACCTATAAAGTATCATGTACTTCTTAAAAATAAACTTCATTTTGGAATAATTTTAGATTTACAGAAAAGTTGCAAAGATGGGGCTGGAATTTCCCTTCCAGTGTGCCCTTTCCCCAGTGTCCCCCAGTATTGACATCTCATCATTGATCACAGCTGGAAACCAACTGAAGTCCATATTTTGTTCAACTGTCCCCAGTTTCTCATTGATGGCCATTTCCTGTTCAGGTTCGCTCCCACCCAGGGGACCACACTGCATGTAGTTGTCCTGTCTGTGTAGTCTTCTCTGCTCTGTGACAGTTTCTCAGTCTCCCCTGGAGTTTTCATGGCCATTGCAATTTGGGAGAGTTTTAAATAAAGCATTTTGAAGAAAGTCTCTTAATTTATATTTGTCAGATTTTTTTCTCTTGGTGAGCCTGGGTCTTGGGGTTTCTGGAGGAAGAACACAGAGGTCAGGTGCCACCCGATCACATCCTAGTGGGAACAGTGACTTCAGCATGGACTGAACAGTGAGGTTACCCTTGGTCCTTGCTTCAGCGGGTGTTGTCTGATGTCACTGTGCTGTTCTTACTAAAAGGCGTTTCCCCCTTTGCGCAGCTGTTAAGAAACCTGCTCCAGCACCCCCGAAACCAGGAAACCCACCTCCTGGCCATCCCGGGGGCCAGAGTTCTCCAGGGACAGCACAGCAGGCACCCAGCTTGTCACTGAAGCCGGCCACTGGAAGTCCATCTCCTCCTGTCCCACACACAGGCCTCGTCCCTGGGCAACCGTGTACCACCTCACAGCCGTGCGGTCCCCGGAGATCCTCGGGCAGCCTGGCTCCTATGCAGGCACCCAGTCACCCTCCACCACAGCCCCCCACGCAGGCCCCGCAGCCACAAGCCAGGCCAGCTGAGCAGGGACTGGAGCAGCCCGCGAACACCCCACCCAGGACGCCCACGCCTCCCAGCACTCCGCCCTTAGCTAAGCAAAGCCCGGGTCTGCTGGCCTCTCACCCTGAGACTACACAGCCACATGGTGGCACCTTGCCGAGACCAAGACCAGTACCAAAGCCCAGGAACAGACCCAGTGTACCCCCACCCCCGCACCCTCCTGGTGCCCACCCAGCAGGGGATGGCAGCCTCTCCAGCGCAGTGCCCACCGCCTCCAAAATAGTAACGGGTGAGTAACTCTGCACTAGGTGTTGGTACCCCTCACACAGGCTGTGGTCCAGCCTGTTTGTGAGCCACACCATTTGATCACACGTGGTCTTGCTGCCTTTGTGCTAAGGCAGCTGAGTTGGTTGAGAGCTTAGAAGTTTGCTGGCTTGACCCCTGGTTTACAATTTCATTATGTGTTCAGGACCCATCCACATGTACAAGTAAGTACAGTGGCCTAGTCCAGGGGAAGGTCTTGTACAACATGAGTGTGACATTCACGTATAGTGAATTCCTCGTTAAGATGCTTATTTTCCTTCTAAGTAAAAGTGTTCATAGTTGGAAGCGTTTCAGTTATAACTTTAAAAAACATGATTTGTGTTAGATTGGATGCTCAGGGAAGGAAGCTTTCAGTCGCAAGAGTGGAAGAATCAGCCTGTCCATGGGGCTCCATGGAGCCCTTAGTGTGCTGCTGACTACAGAGCTCAGTGGACACCTGAGGACATTTTTACACCATGCTGTTTTTATTTAATTATGATTTTAAATAAAACTTCCACCCACAGTGCTCTGACTTACTCTGATTTAAGGATTGGATGAATGGATTTTTCTTTAAATGTGTTTTTTTAAATGAATCATTTTTTACAACAGCCAAGTTTAAGTTTTTCTTAGTGGAGCTATTTTTACTTTTATATATATATATATGTATATATATTTATTTATTTATTTATTTATTTCTTCTCCTTTTTCTTTTCTTTCTCTTTTTTGTTTTGTTGTTTTAATGAAGTTATTTAAAAATTTTTTAACCCTCACCCGAGGGTATTTTTCCATTGCTTTTCAGAGAGAGTGGAAAGGGGGGAGAGAGAAACATCAATGTGAGAGACACATCAGTTGGCTGCCTCTCGCACGCACCCTGACTGGGGCCGTGGATCAGGCCTGCATCTGAGGTACGAGCCCTTGACTTGAAGGACCTTTCAGTCTGCAGGCCGACCGGCCAGGGCTAGTAAAGCTGTTTTTAGAGAAGCTGGACTCTGGGCTCCCCAACCATACTGAGTGACTTCTCAGCTGAAAACTAACCAAGGAATGCCCCAGACTGGTACCCCAGTTGATGAGGGTTAGCCAACTAGTCTATCTTTTGATAGCATTTTTTTTCACGACCATAATATGTAATTTGCATGTGCTATAAGTGTTAATAACTTTTTTCTAATGACACCTCTGCTCTTTTGGAAAAATAAAGCCACATTTGGTTTGTTGTTTGTTTCCCAATAGATGCCCTCCCTAGCGCCCTCACAGGTGGGGAAGGTTTCCAGGAATAAGGTTTGTAGTGCCCAAGCAGCTTGCCCCAAACGCCCCTGCCTAGCCGTGTTCTATGTGTGTGCTTTTGAGTTGGTGCTCAGGAGCAGCCTCTAGCCCGTGCCGTTTGCTCTGCAGCATGGAGACGTGACTTTGTTTTTATCAGAAGCTCTTTGATCTGTAGAGCTCCAAATTCAGGAGGTAGCTGTCAGTAGCTCAAGAGCCCAATTTCAAGCTGCTCAGATAAGATACTAGGAACGTTTTCTTTCTTTGACAAGCATCTGGTCTCCTGGCGTGATTTACCTGTCATTGATTGGCTTGTCACCGCGAACCAAGGAGGGCTGGGGTACAGTCAGCATGGGAAATTGTGTCCCTTTTGCCTTGAGCTTTAAAATTTAATTTTAAGTGCAAGTTAACTGCATGGAGCTTCTTAATTTAATGTTTTAAATTTTCAGGACCAAAAAAAAAAATCTTTTACCAAAGATCCCACACTAAACCCTTTGCATTTCTAGCATGCTTCCATCTGCCTTCTTAAACCACATGAGCATTTAAAAGGCGCTGTGAGGCCATCTGAATCTCGCCTGGGGTCCACAGTCGGATGGTATAAGGCTCTTGTGTATAGAGGCTCTCATCGGCTGACCTGAGCCTTCAGCCTTCAGTGGGCTGCATAGCCAGGCTGTTCACAGCTTGGGTCTGAAAAAGACTTTGTAGAAACCAGACAGGGAAATAGGAGCCCAGCCTGTAAACCTTGGAGGAGGGAGCAGGTGTGGTTCTGCCTTCCTGACTCCTTGGAGATGAGCCCAGAGATCTGGGGCCGCCCAGTGATGTCACAGAGTAAAGTGACTAAGCCCCAATTAAGGCTGTGCCTGTGACACCTCAGTACTTGTGACACATCAAAGTTTATTTCCCAGGGGTGGCTTTAGCTCAGTGGCTCCTTTGAGTCCAGCCTTCACTTGCCAAGCAGTCTTGCTTACAAGGGTGGTTCAAGACCTGGGCTCCCTCCAGTCCTTTAAAAAATAGTTATTATTTATTTCCTAGCCTTTTCCTTTTATTTAGATGAAAGACTATGAACCAGAATTATGCCTGTCCTTTAATACCATTGTTATTTAGGGCGTGTTTATACCAGAGGTTATTTTATTTTTGATCTTCAACACTAATGCTCTGTATTTTACTGTCATCAGATAAGTGAAAATTTATAGTAAAAGTCGTTTTCCTGAGGATATTAGCTAAATATTTAAAAACCCATCTATGCTATGAATTCTAACTCAAGAAATTCCAGGTCACCACCATTACCTTTGTGTTACAGAGTTAACTTTTAATGTATTAAAGTCCCCTAGACTGCATTAGAAGCATCCACAAGCCTAATTGTGTGCACGCTTGTGAGGCCATGCGTGTTGGTCGTGCTGCTGTGAACCATTCTTGGGCACGAACCATTCCTGGGCACAGCCATTGGGTGTTTCAGGAAGGAACACGGAGCTTCCCCTGACAGCCAGTCCTTTTTGCAACGTCAGGTTTTCCCTTGAGAAACTTGACACACAAATTTCTGAAAATAGGTTGTTTGTTTAGAACATTTAATTTTAAAAAGCTGAATGAGGGCTGAGGATTAAGATAAGCTCTTGGGGGAGATCGATGCTACCAAGCGGGTGTGGCCACCAGCCTCCGGTGCTCGGTGCCGGCACCTGGGGACAGGGCAAACCTGTACCATTCGTCTTCTTCATTGTTACTCTGAAAAGCAGGGTGTTAGCTTCACAAGTAAAAGAGTTTACATCTTGCTGTTTTTAAAGTAGTAGATTTTAGCAGAGTGTTCTAACTTAAACATTTTATTAAATAATTTAGATGTATGACCTGCCATAATCAGTCAGAACTGAATTTGGAATATTTAATGGTAAGGAAAGGCACCTGATTGGCCAAAGCATTTTTGCTATTTATGATCATATTTGTGCACTAATGCCTGTTACTAACCGGTCACTCTAACCTGCCTGCTTGCATCCCCACTAACAGTGCATGCCCCAGCGGAGGCTGGCTTTTGCTCGTTTGTGCTTGCTGTTCATCTCTGGGTACTAAGTGTGTTCACATGGGTGTGATGGGTCACAGCGGGCCTTGGTACTCGTTCAGTAGGCAGCACATGCTGAGTTGGACATGCCCGACCCGCATTTCAGCTCGTAGGCAATGTCAGGCAAGCACAGCCTGGATGACTGTAAAGTCGTGACATTTGTGAGAATTATTGTTAAAGGAGTTGCATTCAATAAGATAAGAAAGGCATCTGACAGTTCTTAAGACACAGTGGGTCCAAATAAATGGTAGCTATTATCATTTTTATTTAGAAAAAAGATAATCAGGGTTATGTCATATGTCAACATTTTAAAACTTATATGCCTGACCCCGGCGCAAGTGGTCTGGAGCCCAGGTGCACCGTTTGGTGGTGGGTTAGAAGGACAAGGCTCAGAAGTAGAAGACGTTTCTTAATCTCATGAACCTGGGAATCACCGTGGGTCATCCGTCCACGTGTGATGGTGGAACAGGTCACTCTCATAGTGGTCATCAAACCTCGACACTCTGCTGGTTTTCAGTGTGCGCTTTTAAAAATTAAACTCTTTTTATGTCATAAAAGTAATGTGTTAAAAAACAAGCATAGATATTAAAGCAGATTGGGGACCTAGAAATAATGAGAAATCACCCTTCCACAATTGAAGATGCCCAGTAACCGTATTCTGTTGTTTTTCATTCTAGTTCTTTTTCCCCTAAAAGGCAAGGGGGGGTGCATGATCGTAATGATTGGGCACGTACAGGTCTTGCATTTTTATTTTACTTTACATCAAATGCTCTTTCCCGTGATATAATGTAGTTTTTATAGCCATCTTTTTGGTTACTGCATAATATTTTGTTAAGCAGATACATTATTGCTTGTAGTTGAACATTTAAGTGACTTCTGTGTGCAGTTTATTTTTCATAAGTAGATCTCAGAATCATGTGGCAGTAAATATCCAGTGAGACTGAACAGAACCTCCTTTGACTAAGATGGTAGAAGGTTGACTCAAAGCTGGTACAGGCTGGAAAGCCTAGGAAGTCGCTCTCCCAGACTCTACACTGCGGGGGGCTGGGGGTTGGCTGGCCTGCAGTTGCTTAATTTCAAGAATGTGTTTGGATTCGATACCTGTTGAGGTGGCTGCCCAGAATAACCTTGGAACTTTGAAGGGTGTATTCACAACCCAAGTACATAATGAAATTTGTTGACATGACAGAGAAGCCACCTAGGACCATACCCTAAATTACTGAGTGCCAGTCCTGGCCCCACGGGCCCACTTTCCTCGATTCCACTAGTCGGGACAGGAAGGGACCAGGTTAGGGTTGCATGAGCTCCGGAGCCGTGGTGCACACGTCAGGTGCTGCCTGAGCTGAGGCTCCTCCTGGGCCTCTCTCTGTTCTTCTGTCTCTGTTAGGGTAATGTCCTATCTGCCTTATGAATGTGGCCTTGAGCAGCCTGTGCTCAGTGCATGTAATAGAAAATGGTGCCTTAATGTAAATTCATAGCCAGAAAGTTGTAGATGTATTTTTAAATTTTCTTAAAAATACCTTTTTACTAAAATGAACCAGAGGGTTTAAGAATCAACCTCTCTCAAGACCCTCACCACAGGACATACTCCTTTGGGGAGGAGGGAGCGTGTTAGATCGATATAACAGACTCGAGACTCCAGCCAGTCTGGCCTTGTCACCTCAGGCAAGGATTGAGACTCTCAGAGTGTCCCTCCCTGATCTTGACGGTGACCCAGTGCTGCCCGGGGGTTCGGCGAGATGCTGTGATGTGTGTTCACTTAGCACTGTGCCTGGTGGATGGTACTGAAAGATCAGCCATTGTGACGGAGACCGATGTGTCTCTTCCTGAAGGAGGCTCTGTACACATGCTGTAGCTCTTCTTACTGCTCTTTGTGGGTAAATTGATTTGTTGCTTCCCTTTAAGAAATTATTCAGGTGAGAGAGACGGGCTGGGTAGACACATACTGCCAACCTCTGGTAAACCAGACAGGGCAGGCCAGAGGAGAGGAGGGGAGAGGAGCTTCTACTATATAAGTAATGTGTGTCCATCATAAACAGTTGGAGACATTCAGAAAAGTATAAATCCAGAACTTGTGTGTGATGTTAAAAAAAGGGGGGAAAGTAGGTTTGTCCCCTGAGTACACCTGTGGCCGACAGGTGTTAAGTTTGCATGTAAATATGGGTGTTAGCAAGCACAAATCTAATTAGTGTGCACACTCCCCTGCATTGTGACCCCTAGGCATGCTCCTCCCATAGTTCCTTGTCTTTTTGGGTCAGGGAAGGGGGATTGGATTTGCAATGGATTTCTTGTACCAGTGTTGTCTTTGGGACATGGCTGCTGCTTTACCTGAGGCGAAAGAAAGAGGGATTGGGCAGATGGTGGGCTAGATGGCACCTTCTCCATCCAGTCATTCATCTATCCACTGGCCAGCCACAAAATTTATTGAGCATCTGCCATTAACCAGTCACTGTTGTAGGCACTGTGGACAAAATAGACAGGGTCCCTGCCCTGCTGACTTACCTTCTGCTGAGGACAAATTCGAGACATCCTCTCTTCTGTGCACTAGACCCCCCTTGACTGTACTATGGGGTAGCGCAGTCAGCACAAATCCAGTTGGTTTTACAGTTATCATCAGACCATTTGTCTGAAATGGAACCTGAGCTTTGCCACCTTGCCACCTTCATAAATCTAGAAATTTCTCTGAGTTGTGTTGCATGGGAAACCTTGAGGGACAGATCTGCCAACCCAGGATTTCACGTGAGAAAAGGGACACCCCAGGAGGTAAATAGATCTTGTGGATCAGGGCTATAGGACATGTGGGGGCAGTGCACCTGCATTGCCAGCCCTGCCTGTGTGGGTGAGGCGCAGGTAGAAGTACTGCCCAGAACAGCTCCCAGCAGGGTCAGACATGTGAAACCACCACAGCAGGACAGAAAGCAGCTCCTGAGCGCACAGGGGACTCCCCAGCACAGTACCTCCACTCTAGTTCTCCCCCTGCTTCCTACAATAGCTCTAACCCAGCAAAGGGAAACCACAACAGACCTATACACCTCCCTTTGCTCTTGCCCCAGCCCTAAAGTCTCTAAGAAGGCTCTCGTCATTTGCTAGAACCTACATCTACCGGTAAAACAAACACTCTGCTTGATCAGGGTCCCACTCAGCCGTGGGCTACATGAAAGCCCTGTCCTGCTCGCTCACTGCTGTGTCCTCACAGGTAGAATGTGCCTAGTACGTGGCAGGTGCCCAGTAAATACTTGTGCACGAGTGACTGGAGACGGGTCACCTCTCTAGGAAGAGAGCTCTGACTGTTAAGGTATCTTGTGAGCATAGGAGTGAGGGACAGTGGCTTGAGGACCCTGTATTTGCCATGTTGCTGAAGGAGTTCCAGCCAACATAGTAAGACATGAAAAAAATGGAAATGTAATTTTGGAAACAGATGAGAAAATGAATATTTGCAGGAGATTTGTGATCTACCTTAGTGATTATCAACCAGGGGTACTTGTGCCCCTCCCATCCCCCTGGAGACATTTGGCAGTATCTGGAAACTTTTGTTGTCATAGTGAGAGGGGGGCTGTGTGCCACCAGCATCTAGTGGGAAGAGGGCAGAGATGCTGCTGAGCATCCTGTCGTGCACAGCACAGCCCCCACAATCCAAAGCAGTTAGGCCAAAAATGTCCCCTTTGCTGAGGCTAAGGCTAAGGCTGTAGCATTAGCAGTAGAAAACTCATCAGCTCGGTGGAGAGAGCTCTTCCCAGTGGGGTTCATCTACTCCTGCAGCCCAGACGTGGTCAGGAGGTTTGTTCTACATAGAGGCGCTGCTGAGAATGAAGTTTCTTTCTCCATCAGAGCAAGCAACTCCTGTGAGGGTGGCGCCTCAGGGCTGCCACAGCTCACAGAAGGACTGGCAGGGCCGGGGTGGGGCTCTGCACGGCTGCCCCTGGCATCTCAGAGGCTTGACTCAACTTCTAGGAGCTAAGGTCCTCTAGTAAGGGAGGTGTGTGCATGGGCTGGCTCTGACACTCCAGCTTCCTTCCTCTCGGAGCCCCCTTGGGTGGCCTCTTGGGCGTGACCACACACTGATACCACGTCTCGTGTGTTTCTGTCCAGACGCCAATTCTAGGCTATCAGAACCACTTCGCAGCGTCTTTCCTGAAATACACTCAGACTCAGCCAGCAAAGACCTGCCCGGCCGCGTCCTGTTGGACTTGGACAATGATACAGAAAGCACTGCCCTGTGAAGAAAGCCCCCACCTGGCCCCTCCCACCCCGTGAGCGCACCGGGCAGGCGGACCTGGATCTCTGCAGACCAACAGTGAGCAGCTTTCGGTGGAGGGCGAGAAGCCTGACCACGCGGCTCCGCCTCTCACAGCCCAGCGGCAGAGCGGGGCTGACGCTAAAGCTGAATGACCTGTGTCTGGAGGACGTGGGCTTTCTTTACGTAGGAAAGAAGTCATGCCAAACATAGCCGAGCAGACACCTAGAGTGGAAAGAGCGTTGTTGCCGAGCGGTGGCCACCGTTGGTGCGGGGACAGCGGGGTGAATAAGCCGCGCCATGCTGCCGGTGTGTAGTAAGACGCACTCACTATGCAACTTGCCCTCCCGCTCCCTGGACCTTCGCTCCTGCTGGTGTGAGGTGGTCTGTCTCCCTGACCCTCACCCCGCGAGCTCGTGGTGGCTGCTGGACCCGCCACCTCGGCAAACTGGATGTAACTCGTGCCTTGTGGGACTGTCCGGATGCAGAGAGGAATGTACTGTTCTTTTTTAAAAACAATGTAATTGCTACTTGATAAGGACCGACATTATTCTAGTTTCATGTTTAATTTGAATTCAATACATTCTGTGGTTTATATGAAAACTTGATTGTTCTTGGAGGAAAAACTGGTGTGTGTGTGCGTGTGTTCACTTAACCAAAGAAACTGGGTGGGCCACCTGGGACCTCACTGTGACTAGGGAGACGTTCGAAAGGATAGAAGACCACAGCAGCGATGCCAGCCACCAGGTGCCCTGGAGACCTCTGGCCTGGCTTTCCCTTGGCAGTGTTCTGGGGGTAAGGCCCTTCCTTTGCTCTCCCCAGTCCTGACACCCTTCTTGTCCACCCAGAGACACACAGACTCAGGTGGCCGAGCCGTCACTCTCCATGGGGTCCCGTTTTCCAGCAACTGGGAGGCACCTCTCTCCCTGGACAAATGCTGGGGAAGTGGAGGAAAGGGAGGGAGGTCGGCGGGTGGGCTGGCGAGTGGCTGTGTGCTGAGAGCCCCTCCCGCGGTGCCTTCCTGGCCAGAGGGGGACGTTCCTTGGCAGTGACAAGAAGGGCGCTGCCAGCGTTGCTCTGAGCCGTCCCACCAATGGAATTGCCTGCTGGGCGAGTTGTGACCTGTCCCAGCACACGCTGGCCCTCCCCCCACTATGAATAACCCGGTGTGGTGCGTTTACTTGAAAAGGACAGTCCCTTCCTCCCGAGTCCCTGTGCCCCGAAGCACTCCCTACGTTAATTACATGGAGAAATGTACCTACAGCCCGCATCCCCTGTACGCTAAAGTTACGACTTGCTGAAGGTTCACTCCTTGTACGCCATCCACGAGTGACTGCCTGTGCTGTGGAGGAAGCGGCCGTCCATCTGGCAGCACTGCCTGTCCGTGTTGAGCTCCTCCAAGGAGCCTGCTGTCCGCAGGCCGCACCTGCAGCACCTGGGTGACACCCCTGTGTGCTGCTGAGAGCCCGCACTCAGGAGGAAGCTGGGGTGAGGGCGGGGCCTGGGGACCACCAAGGCCGTGGTGAGCACCCCCAGGACGTAGCATGTGTTTCACCTGATTCTGAACTTCAAGCCCCCCCTCGTTACCCTCAGAACATCACTCGGTTTCCACCCTCCCGTCGTTTACTGCGATCTCCCTGCCCCAACAGCTCCAGTCTCGGAAAAATGACTTTGCCTGTGTGAGTGTGAAGACCAGATGGAGGCTGCTGTCCACCTTCTCGACGGCAAGTCTGGCGTGAGGGCTGGTCTCGAGTTCAGGGCTGTGAAGGCGTCGTGGTGGGAGCTTCGAGATGCCTCGGCCGGCTCACCCTGCGGGGTGGCCGCGTGGCCGCACGGTCCTGGCACCGCACACAGCGGAACCCCTCGGGCAGACTTCCGTCTTCCCAGACCCTTCCCCACCAGCTCCACCTCCACCTCCACACTGTTGCTACATGACAAATGTCCACAAACTTGGTGACTTAAAAGAGCACACACTTCTGATCTCAGTTTCTGCGGGTTGGGTCAGGGACAGCTGGCTGGGTCCTCCGCATGCCTCAAGGCTGCAGTCGAGGTGCCAGCCAGGCCAGGGTCCCACCTGGAGGGCCCACTGGGTGGGGAGGGTTCCATCCTGAGCTCCTTCAGGTCATTGTCAGAACTCCCGTCCTCGTGGTTTTGGGACGAAGCTGGAGGGCCCTGGCTGCTGGCTGGCCATTGTCTGGATGCCCGCCCCCCAGGCTGCCTGCGGCTCTTGCACACAGCTCCCCCAGTGTGGCTGCTGCAGCAAGTGTTACGCGGTTAGTGTGGTCATTGGTTGCGCATGGACATCGCGCCCCCACGGAGACTGGATTCTATGGTTAGGAGGGGTAGGGGTTCCACAGAGGCACGCATACCGGAAGTGGGGTCACTGAGGGTCATCTTGGGGTCTGCCCATCACATGCATGAAAACATCATCGCAAATGACACATGGGAGCCAAAAAACTCATCAGGGCTCTGATTTCACCCTCTCTCTGTGTATGAATTCAGTTTTCACGCACATCACTGAGTTACAGTTGAGTGATCCAGAAACATTTGCTGTTTCATGGTAGAAGCTCAACACTTCGGTTTTTGCACGAGGACTTGGACTTGAAGCCAGGTCTCACAGGTAGCGCCAGGTGTCCTCTGGGTGGTCCCCGAGGGCTTCCTCTTCTGTACCTAGGCCAGACCTGCAGCCCCACCCTGAGTCACAGGCATGGCCTTGGGGTCCAGGGCGCCTGCAGACGAGCACCCAGGCAGCAGGAGAGACGGCAGAGGCAGGAGCAGTGGCGGCGAGGTTAAGGGGGAGCGGGAGTAGGAAGGGCCTCATCCCCATGCTGGAAGTTGTCAAGGGCGGTGGGGGCTGGGAGGGACGAGGGGAAGGACAGTCGATTGTATTTCTGTCCTCAAGGCTGCGGTGAGAAGGTGGACAGGAGCAGGGCCAGACCGAGCAGGAGAGCCTGAGGGAAGAGCCACCGCTGGCCTAGGTTAAGGTGTACACACTGTTGGTTAGGGTCGCAGACTCAGCGTGGCCTGGTGACTGACCGTGGGCCCTTCCCACAGGGCTGATCACAGCAGCTTAGAGACCGTGGTGGTCAAGGGGGGCTTTGAAGTTGCACAGTTCCCAGAGGCCAAAGGACGGGTGACTCTCAGCCTTCGGTCACCTCTATAAGTTTAGATCTCAAGGAGGTAAGTTGGTGCAGAAAGAGTTGCTGTTCCTTGGCCATGGGTACCTGGGCAGGGATGGGCAGCCGCGCCGGGGAGGGGTGTGGCCTGTGGGTATGGGGTAAAGAGCCAGGCACTGTGCCAGGCGTCAGTGTGCGTGACGTACAGCCCTGAGGAACTTAGCTCCCACTGGAAGACAAGTGGTCAACGAAGTGACACTGGCTTTGACCGCACATGTCATGGTGGGAGTAGGGTGGTCAGGGAGGCTTCCTGGAGGAAGTGATCTTTAAGCAGAGGCTAGGAGTTAACCAGGGGATGAAGGAGGGGTGGTTTAGGCAGAGGGAAGAGCAGAGGCAAAAACCTACTTACTGGATATTTGTGACCATGCTTATGGGGCCCACTGTATGGGAGCCACTGTGCTAGGCCCCGAGGCAGGAAGGTGTGAGGTGTGACCTTAGCCCACGAGGGAGAGTGGCCCAAGTTGAAGCTGGAGAGGGGCCTGGCCATCAGGGCTTCACCTGGGAGTCTGGGAGGGCACTGGGGGAGCCGCGGCTGAGGAGCGATCACATCCACCCTCTGCCCGGGGCTGGAGAGCAGGTGAGACCAGGGGCAGGAAGGCCAGCCAGCAGGGAGACGTGGCAGTGGCCTGAGCGTGCGTGGCAACAGCTCCATGAAATGCACTTCTGACCCCAGCCAGTGCTCTCGGTGAGGCAGAGCGGCCTCCGGGGCCTCCCCCCTCCTTCGGCCCTTGAGAGGAACACTCAGCCTCCCTTTGAGCCACTTGCCCCTGACACCAGCGCCCACACAGGCCCTTTCCCAGGAGGGCGGGGTGTGCCCTTGTCAACCCACAGCTCTCACTTGCACTAGTGTGGGAAAGCCAGGCCTTCGGCAGGGGGAAGCCCCAAGCTGATCCACTTACCTTCAGGCCAGGCTCATCCAGATCCTGGAGGAGGGCATCAAGATCCCTGAGGGACCAGGTGAGCCAGTGTCTCCTCAGCCCCAGGGTTTCCTGCCCATGCTCCTTTGAAGTCTGGAAACCCGGTCCCTGGAGAGTCTGTGCATTCTTCACTTGTCAGGCCAATAAGTGGTTCCCACGCACCCCTCAGCCCCCTTTATCCCAGGACGCTAACAAGCCCATGCTCTGGGCTCCCAGAGATGGTCTCGGGGCTGATTGTGGGCCCGCCTGGCTCTCAGCTGTCTGTCCATGGGGCAAACGGCCCCTACAGGTCTTGCCATCAGGCTGGCTCTGCACAGAGCAGGTGACAGCTCTTCAGATCAAAAGCAAGCCCTCGGCCGGTAGAGGTGCGTTGTGGAGTTGTCCATCCTTCTGGCTGGTGGTTTTAGAGAAGCATCCTTGTGGGGAATTAAGCAGAGACACAGGCTACTCAGAATCTGGGAAGCGCACACAGCTCCCCAGTTTGTGGATAGCAGGAGATTGTAGGGCGCCGACTCGGGTGCGTTTCACAGCGACCTCATCAAGGAGCAGGTTTCACAGAAAATCTTCAGCGTGGCCAGCTGGAGTAGGAGGGAAGAGACAGACTGCAGGTCCCGTCGTTCCTGGTTCCTTGAAGGTGCCCAGGAGATGTGGCTGCTGTCAGGCTGGAGGTCTCGGGGATCCCTGGCGTCTGCACCCCTTGAATTTGATTGTGGCTCTTGCACATGAGCAGGAAGAAGGGAAAACTAACTTCTCTCCCGTTCCCTTCTTAGAAGAAAAGAGCTGACTAAATGCCATGTTGAAAATGGCCCATAAACACCCTCGAAGCCTCATGGTAAACAAATGAAGCTTTATTTTTTCCCTTCATTAAAAAAATGGGGCACTGAAAATAAATTGAGAACTTGGACCCCCGCGTTCAGCCCACACTAGGCAAAGTAGCCCCAGAGAAAGACGCCGCAGCCGATGCAGAAGACGAGGTTGATGTCGAGGAGGGTTTTCACCGCGGGGCGCTCCTCCAGGGACGCGATGATGGGGTCCGCTCTGGGCAGGGGCTCCGCCGGGCCCTTGTCCTCCATGCCACACAGCCACAGCATGGCCTTCACCATCCTGGACGGCTTCTGGGTCCCCTCACCTAAAAAGAACCCACACAAAGGTCATCAGGGAGGGCACATCTCCCAGAGAGGAGGAGGGGACGAACCCGCGTGTTCCTGCACTGTGGGAAGCACCTCTGTCCCTGTTCTGGACGGTGCTCACTGACACCCTAGCTCTGGGAGGCCGCTTTGTTCCGGAAAACTGGTATGTGTAGACTCCACCGTTTTTCAGGCCCCAGCTGCCTGTGGGGCCAGGCAGGTGGTGTACAGGAGTCAGGGCCACTTCACATATTCAACATGTCAAAAGACTCCTCACCTCCACCAGGAAATATTCTCATTTTTCTTGAAACCCATGACCTATGGCCTCACTTTAGGTTGATATGGGTTCAGAGCCACAAATTTTTTTAAGGCCGTGTGTTTAAGACCATGATAAATGACAACCACC